TTAATTACACAAGGAATACGTGCAAGATTATATATCTAGATACACACACACACACACACACACACACACACACACACACACACACACACACACACATATATATATATATATATACATATACAGGATGTAACAGAGCGACCATACCAGGCCAATTTCTTGAAAAATATGCATTTTCTTGAAAAATGTTTCAGACAAAAGTTTTTCGACTTCAAGGAAAACATAATATGGCATCATTGGTTAGCAGACACTTATACCAACACCTCATCACAACTAGTCCCCTAGAGATGTCATATTTACATCGCATGTTGCAGTAATATTGCAGAGATTTTGCCAAGATATTGCTGCAAATTCTGTACTGTATGGGATGTATACAGGGTGCCCCAGAATGATCGTTAAATATTTCATGTGCTGGTAAAGCGGACTAAACTGAGTCGAAAAGTCCTCTACTATTTTGAAATTTTCGCAATAGTTAACAAGATATTAATTACTAAAAATCGCCGAATATTGGTCTTCAATAATTTTTTATTCAAGTACTATGAACTTTACAGAAGAATTATAAATGACAAAAATTGTTTATTTTTTTCTCAAAGTTATGAAAATTTTTCTAGAATTTTTTAGTTGCATTTTCTTATGTTGATAAAAATAATTGCAAGTAGGAAAATGCAGTACTTATCAGCAGAAAGATTGCGATTTTTTTTCGATAGATTTTGGAACTCAGTCTTGCCTAAAGCAACCCAGCAAACGAGAATAGATTGAAATGAATTGAAATGAATTCAGAAATATTGATTCACGAATGTTAAAATGAATACTTTTCAGTTCTGAATGCATTTTTATTCATTTATAGGAATTGCGTGGAGCATATCTCTATGCCTTTCAATCTAAAAATAATATTAGCTTTTTCTGTGCAATTGTGAATACTGTTCAATTCAAAATTTTGAGTAAGAAATACAATTTTTCAATCCAATTGAATCTAATTGAATCCAATTAAATCCAAAAAAAGTATTCGCTATTTAAAATACGCATTTGGATAAAAAAAAATTTTAATCCATTCTCGTTTGCTGGGAATTGAACATAATTGGATAGACTCATTAGTAAGAACTAATTGCGCAGTGAGCAAGCCATATTCCAAACCCATAAAAAAAATTGTTGCAACCTTTTTGCTACCGAGTATATCTACTAAAAAGTTGATAAAAAATTCTGAAAAAATTCTCGGAGAAGTTTCTCTGTAAATTGTTGATAGTATTTGAGTAAAAAATTGTTGAGAACCAATATTCGGTGATTTTTAGTCATTAATATCTTGTTAACTATTGCGAAAATTGTAAACTGATAGAAGACTTTTCGACTTAGCTCTATTAGCACATGAAATATTTGATGGTCATTCTGGGACAATTTGTAATTCCCGACGTTCCTGAGCCAGAGCGTCACGTGACAAGGCCGCTAAGCCTAGAGCGGTAGTGAGGGAACAGTAGGTGTCGCCTAAGAATCAACCCAAAATGTGCATCTAATGTCGAGTTTTAAGTTCAATCAAATAAATCTTAACAAAATTTTTAATTCAACACTAAGTTGTGATATCATTTAACAAAGAGTCTGTGTACTGCTTTTTTAAATATTTTTTATTTTATAAAATACTTATTATATTCAATTGGATATAAGGATTCAATTGGATTTGTTAGTATTAATAATCTTAAATGTTACGATTAGTCGAACTTGTTACTATTTATACATATAAATACATATTCTGTTTGCGAAATTTTTTATTTCTGTGTTCCTATATATAACGAATATTTATATCATAAAATTGCGTTTTTTTTCTTACACAGTGAAGATTTAAAATCGATATTTTCAAAGATACTTATCATAGTGATTTATAAAAATATTCTAGAGTAATCTGAAGAAATAATACTGTATGTATTCGTATAAGATAATTTTAGATGAGCAAAGTAAATTTGGCAAAATCTCGGGTAATCTCAAAAAATATGACATAATTTTATAAATAATCTGAGGTAATCTTAGATAATATATATGAGGTAATATTTGATAATCTGAAATAATTTGAGGTACTATTAGATAATCTTAAGTAATCCGAGGTAATTTAAAGATCCGGATATCAAAGGTAATTTTTGTACACTATGATTGCTCGTGATCAATTCCTCGTTAACTTTATTTTTCTAAAATTCTACTAAAAAAGACTTCAGAAAAAGATTTCAGAACAAAGAATAATTTCAGCCAAATTTCATCGAAGTTTCAACGAAATTTTATTTGAACTTTTTATTTCGGAAGTCAAAGTCATTTATGACCAACTTCGAAAGAAAATAATCAATTTTATCTTGATTTTGAATTTTGTCGCCTTTGATCGGTTTTGCTTCATTTAAGATTAATTCAAATATGAATTTTGAAACAAAATATGAATCTAAGATTGGTCAATACCCAAGTTTAAAATTTAAGACAAAATTTAACAACAGTCCGCTATTTCTTTATAAAAAATTTTACAAAAGTAAAATCTAACGAAACTAATGGCTAATAAGTTTTTGACATACTACTTTCAGCGTTATAAAAAAATTCGATACAAAGTTTAATATTGGTATTAAAAGATTCCGTAATCGAAAAAAAGACATTATTTGTACGAAAAAAATCAGTCTCAAAGCTTTTTAGACAGTATACACACACACACACACACACACATACACACACACAAGGTGTCTCAGCAAATCTTTATCCTTAAAATGACATATTCCTGACATAATTTTAAGACAATTTTTCTTTTATCAAAATACTATGCGTAGTTTAGTTTTTGAATTATAAACGAATGTAATGAATAAATTATGGATTGCGTACGGAAAGTGAGCAAGGGCGGCATAACGCACCGTCCGACGCGGGTGCCGATCAGCTGCTTGCTATGCGTGACACACATACGTGACACGATATGCACACGTATACGTATTTCGTCTCCCTCCTCCCTCTCTCTCTCTTTCTTTCTTTCTCTCTCTTCTATCTTGTAAAGACGTTTTCATATCGAGCCGAAAAAAGGCAGAATAATTTCGTGAATTCCGAGATTCTCATAAATCCACACCAAATAACAATAAGTTTTTGTTTTTACATCAACATTGCATCACAATTGAATAATTAATCGGTAGAATGTTATTGTGATTAACTGTAATAAAATTAATAAATTCCTCATTTTGT